ATGGGGTCAGTGTTTTTCCCCATAGTTCTCCTTAGGGTAACGGGAGGACACAAACTAGCGTCCTCCCGTTACCCTAAGCTCAGTATACCACGAGCTACAGCTCGCGGTATACTGAGACGCCGCAGCCGGAGCGGATCCCGACTTAGAAAAACCAGTATGTGTTCGCTCACCTCCCGATCTACTGAGCCGACCTGTGACAGTCTCATTGTCACAGGTCGGCTAGAACTATGAGGTGAGTGAAAAGCACTCACCTCATAGTTCTCCTTTTAATGTGTGTTAACATGTGTGCATTAACATACCGCAATGGAACATTTTGTTGTGAATGATCTCTAATGGAATTTAAAGGTATGAATGATATATAAAAATAAACCCTAATAATTACTAAAGAATAATATAATATATTGTACCAGAAAATTTAACTGTTTAGCCTTGGAGGTCAGGAATTTATTTGACCTCTTGTGTGGCAAAATTGATAACAGATACACACTCTCCCTCTGAGCCAAATGTGCAGGAGTTGAAAACAGAAGCCTTTTTACAGGCTTTTGAAATAAAATGTACTAATTACCCACCAATGTATTCACATTCCTCTTTTGTATCTTGCCACACAGTCATCAGCCTGTAAAAGTGCCCACACACCTTGCGATAATCGTACGATAATCGCGGGAAATCCCACAATCGTACGATTATCGCAAGGTGTGTGGAAGGCATGCGACCGTTTCTACTGTACGGTCGCACAACCTTAGTCTTTCGAGCATGTTCGAAAACCAGCCGAGAATCGTACGATTTTCGGCTGGTTTGTAGCATGATCGTAAGATAAATGCCGCACGGGCCAGTGTGCGCAAGTGCACACTGCCCGTTTAGCATTGCGGTCATTGGAAGCCTGCCCCTCAGCGGGGCGGGCTTGCGATTATTGCAAGTACGATCTGCCTGTCCAAGATGGGCAGATCGTAAGTTTTTTTAATTACCTTGCAACCGACGCAAGACAAAAGGCTTGCGATGGTTGTAAGGTGTGTGGCCAGCTTAAGAGCCGTGGCACACATAGGTGACACCCCGCAGCACGGCAATTGTGCACGATGCCACCCAGGTGTGCATCGATCGCGCTGTTGGTGCCATTATTTTCCAATGGCCCCCCAGTTGCGCTGGGTGGATTGCGCGGTTTCCCGCCGCAATTCCGCCCGTGCCTTTCTTTCTACGATACACGACGCGTGGCTTTATCTCATGACTGATCCTGATGTTATTTCTGGATATTTAACTTAACTGAGACATTTGCACTTTCTTTTGGCCTGGACAACCCTAATAGGAATTCCTGAACCATTTCACAATTTGAACAGTGATATCCACTAAAAGTCAGAGGACAATGAGTATGCGTGGATTTAACTGCACAGCTGAAGAGTGTGCATTTTTCCATCTTACTATGGGGAGTTGTGCAATGAAAGAACTACTGGGAGAATTTTGTCGTATACCTCATTTGGAGGAACAGTCCTCTGCTGTACACTGTCATCCGCACCGGCGAACTTCGTGCGGGCCTGAGTGTCTGCACTTGGACGCACATTGTCTGGATCCAAGCTTGGACACCCGAACCCACACAGATGTGCAAGTTCGGGTGTGCAGATGATAGCATAGCGCCTATTACAGCCAATTACACGCAGCACCTGTCCCTCCATGGATCAACTCGTGTATGGGCGTGCACGCTGGCATGGACGTAGTACATCCCGTCTGAATGAGGCCTTATGGAGGCTTGTGACCACTGGGACATTAAAATTCTGAAAAAAGCAAAAGAACTGCCGAACTCGATGTTCCTTTGGTAATCTTTTTATTATACCCGTATCAATAGACAGGCAACATCGAGTGCTGGCGGTTCTTGTGCTTTTCCTTATGTTCTTTACCTCTGGAAAGGAGGTTGTCCAGACTCCAGAGCACCAAGTTTTGAATACAAAGCATTGGAAAGGGGTGAGCTGTGCACTTTGTGTATACAACTCCATTAACATTCTGCTTGTTACCATGGGGATCCATAAACACAAGAAGAGCAGGGTATACAGCAGGGGTGGGGAACCTCCGACCCTCCAGCTGTGGTGAAACTACAAATATTAGGAGACATTGCAAGATTCTCGCAGGCATGACTCCCAGAGACGGATGCATTATGGGATTTGTAGTTTCACCACAGCTGGAGGGCCAGAGGTTACCCCACCCTTGGCCTACAGCATCATTGCATAAAAACTGTGAATGGTTCTCCAGGAGAACAACCACAGTTTAAATATTATGTTTTACCTAAAAGACATTTCAAAAGCTTGCATAGTCAAACAGAGCAATCCAGGTAGTAAATACAATATGCAAAACTGTTGATTTATTTTTTCTTCATTACAATATCAAACTTGACTGAAGTGTGGCTTTTCACTTAAAACAGACCTAAACTGACTTTTAGTCTGCTGGTCCTTCTGAGGCTACCATTTACCCAAAGCCCCCCGACTCCCCCCATTAACATACCTGTGTCCTATGGTGGATTCCTTCAGAGTCTCTGCTGCCGCTGCCTTACTTCCTGTTTCTTCTAACTTCAACAAGGAACTGGATTTGGCAGAGGCTCTATTAACATGTTTCAGGCAGAGTCAATCAAAGTGGCTAACACAGATGCAGTCCTTTGCCACCTCACAAAGTCCTTGTACCACAGAAGCAACACAAAGTGAGGTGGTGATCTCTGGGACTCTGAACTCTGCTTTTGCACAGAGGTGCAGGTAGGTTAAAGGGGTATTTTTTTAATGGCAGCCTCAAGGGGTTCAGCAGACCTAAAGTAAATTTTAAATCTCACAGCCCTACATAATGTCAATAAACTAACAAAGACCTGAGGTATTTAATCATAATTATTACTATCATTTTTTTGTATGCATACAAAGTACTCGGCACTACATAAGTATGATCAGAGTTCACAATTACTTTGCTTCAGCCCCTAATGAAAGAGCATTGACGTCAATGGCACCCCATAGTAAGGCCTGTTCATAAAACATAATTGAATCCAGGAACATTCCCCCGACTGGATACATCCAGATGTGCCACATATTTTGCAACAATGTTACCAGTAGCTGGCAAACACTAAACTTGACAAATGTTGAGCATCAGAAGCCACGATTCTGCAGTGTATGTCCATCTGATTAACTGATCTAGGCAAATCCCTATTATTTCCTGTTTACAAATATTGGTTAAAAACTATTGGGATGCCCCAAGTTCGGAGTGGTAAATTCAAACTGCAAATCCCATGACATCTGAGAAGCAGAAAAACTTTGAACTGAATCCAGCAATCCAGTAAATAAGTGATAAAAACAAAGGTTGAGGAAGGTGAAATTATTACATTTAACCTTTTAAAACGAGTTATTTTATAAACAGACCCCACTGTATGTCTGCACTAAAATTAATTTGCATCTTTCCAGTGTTTGTCAGATACATTGAGGGGAATTTACTAAGATTCAAGGAGAGCGAAGGTAAAACTACTACCGGTATGCATGGCAATGATCAGCTTTAAGCTTTCATTTTCAAAGCTTTATTGAAAAAGCTGAAGACAGAAGCTGATTAGATGCCATGCACAACTGCTCTAGATTATCTCTGCCCGAGTCTTAGTAAATTCCCATCATTGTTTATTTACATTAGCCTGCCTATCTTTTTCCTCATTTGTAAGGAAAATTTGCCCAAAGGTCCACATTATCTATAATCAGTAGTATCTGGCATCTGCATTGCAAAGACATGCTGACAAAGAGCTATTTGCTTTGGTGTATACAATAATCAAAAGTAACAATATATTGATCAAGGACCTGCTAGGGAGAAGGCCATGCAATGCCATTCGCTTCAGCTCTTCAGGGATTGCGGTCATACAAGTTCTGAACTGTGTATTGTGGAATTCTGCACCATTCTTCAATATAGAATCATTCAGTTCTTTTAGTAATATAGGAAGTCTCCAGTTTTCTAGAAATTCTCTTAAAGGTTCAATGATGTATGAATCTGGTAAATGGTAGGCCATGAAAAGCATTTATTTTAGATTTGACTCTGTGGTAAACTCCTTAATTAAGGTTCTACATAGTCGCTGTGCTTTTATCTGTGCAGATAATAAATAGTGTTCAAAATATGCCAGCACTTATTTTACCTGAATAAAATAAATAATTGAGTCCCGTGTTTTTGTGTATATATAATGTTTGCAATTTCATATACGAAATTGCAAACATTCATGTTACATAGTATTTGAGGTTGAATAAAGACATTAGTCCATCAAGTCCAACCTATTAGGATCTCATTCTAGGAGTACCCGTACCCCTGTATATTACGGTCCCTTAAGAAATCGTCCAAAAGTTTCTTGAACAATTCCACATTATTTGCTGAAATCACCGCCTGTGGCAGTGAGTTCCAGACCCTAACTGATCTTACTGTGAAGAACCCCTTTCGCCCCTTGTGCTGGAATTTTTTTTCCACCAATTTTAGGTGATGGCCTCTAGTTGTGTGCCTTTAAACAATACGCAATATAAACAAACTGTGTCCATATACTGTACATAAATTCCTTTAAAAGTCCACTCCCATAGTGCTTCTATTCAGGTGAAATAAATGCAGGGCGTGCCCTATGTTGGCATGAATATCAGTTTGTATTTATAGAGCAGCATGGCATGTGCATTCGACCCCAAAACTTTAGGAAAGTATGGGGGGGACCTTTGTAGGATTTTTAGTAGTATATTTTGCTAAGGACACTACACTCAGGAGCGACTCAATACGCTTATGTGGCCTACTGTGAGGTATCACTGAGGTTAAAAGGCTCTGGGGTAACAAGGACATAGAAGTGTGAAACTTAAAAATACTTTTAGTATATCATGATTATAGTTTTTCAAAACAAAGTTTTGAATAATTATAGTAAAGTGGAGTTTACCCTTCATTATCTATCCACTACAATGATAGTTAGTAAGGCAGCTTGACAACAAAGTGATAAAGCAAGACAATTAAGCTTATGACAGTCTAGCTCATGTTAGATGCCAGATATATTAAGCAGAAGTGTAGGATAGTTTGATCTATATACATAAAGTGGTTAAGATAGGGTAAGAACAGCAAAAGAGTGAGGCCAAAGTCTATAACCCTATGCAAAAGGCCCCAGAATCTGTGGACCTCTTCTCATCTCCTCGACCGGTTAGTGCCTGGTCACTTTTGAAAAGGTGGCTCCCAAAGGGTGGGGTGGAATCAGAAATCTATAAGACAAAGACAAGAGAACACGTAAATAACTAAAAAATGTGTACAAATATTTACATGGTGCACTGTATAGCTGTCAGAGTTGAAGGTTGGCTGTTAGAAACACAGTGGAACATTAGGAGGACTCGTAAAACTCAAAGCACATGTAAGATCTTATTATTGTATTATCACATCACCGGTTATGAAGTGTAGATCCAGGTTAATGTTTGCACTTACAATGAGCAACCAAATAGAATCAGACAAAAACTTTGAAATCCAAACAGTCAGGGAGGCAACTAGTTTGTCACTGGGACTTTACAAAATCATTATAGGTAAGCAGTAGCTGAAGCAACTTGCATGATTAAACTGGGATTTTGGCAACTGAGGTGGTCCATGACACCACAGATCATCAATTTGTTAAGAGGTCCATTTGACCACTTAAAAGTTCACTGCCTAAAAATGAGATGTGAAAAATTAAAGTAAAATCTTCTGGTTTTCTAGCCTGTCATCTGCTCCCATGGACCCTATAAAAGTTGCATGATTTGCTATAAATGCATCAATACTAAAGTATTTCTTTAGTCCTAAAAATTTATTTGGACAGTAATAAAAACTCACAAAAGGTTCTAATCCTTTTCCCACACAACAAAACATTTGTTTATTTCTATCTGTAGGTTTGCCAACTTTGTTCTGACAAAATAAGCGACGGGCAGTGGTGATAATGAGTGCACCATCAAACACTATAATAGATGTGGCCAAATTGCAGAGAGACGAGTTTAAAGTGGTATATTTCATAAAAACTGGGCCTACTGTGTTCTGGATCAAAAGTGCATAACGCACAGAGTGCAGCGGTCAGGAGTGCGTAACGCACATAGTGCACAAGTAGTGCTTAAAGACCAAGGTGAAAACTTTAAGTCGCCCAATGGCATAGGACTGCAGTGACCACCTTCTCCTATTTTGGTTGCTGTTTTAGTTTTCAGTGTTGATGCCCCTTTAAATCACCTCAGGTGAATTCCTGGAGGTTTGGGCGGAAAAGTCTTTTCCTTGTGGAGCTTCCAGAACCTTCTCCAGCTGGTACCTAACCCTATATAAAGGAGAATCCCGTCTGCATCAGTGCCTTTGTCAAAGTATGTTATATGGCTTCTCACCTCTTTGTTGAGGTTGACTTATTTCCCATAACGTCTTCCAGGACAGCATCACGAGATGGAATCTCCTCCCCCACACACAGGAAACACGTAGCGGTCATGGGTCTCATGACCACTTGCCTTCCCGGCGGTAAAATGGGCTCGGTTCCACCAGAGACCTCTGCAACAGTTCTTCCTGAGGAACTGGAATCGCTCGCAAGAGGGATTGGACGTTGCCTTTTCCCTCCCCCCCTCAGTAAAGAGAAGCCTGTGGTGGTGGAGAATTCATCCACACCTTCGGGAGGGTCTGGAGTGGAATTCTCAAGCCTCCATACGCTTGACCACGGATGCCAGTGCGTGGGGATGGGGAGCTCATGTAGGGGAGAGGCTAGCGCAGGGTCGCTGGTCTCTACTAGAGTCCAGAAGGTCCTCCAACTGGAGAGAGTTGAAAGCGGTCGCAAACGCGATCAGGTTTTTCCAGGACGTTTTGAAAGAACACAATCTGTTGGTTCTCTCAGACAACATCACAGCGGTGGTTTATCTGAACAAGCAGGGGGGCACAAGAAGTTGGCCGCTGCAGCTTCTAGCCAAGGAAATATTTTCCTGGGCGGAAGTGAATCTGAAGTCCCTGTTTGCGGTACACCTGAGGGGTACCCACAACATCCTGGCGGACTATCTGAGTCGGCATCGGATTCCGCAGGACGAATGGGTCCTGAACCAGAAAGTATTTTCACTGATTTCAGAGACATGGGGTTTGCCGGTGGATGTGGGGGAGGAGATTCCATCTCGTGATGCTGTCCTGGAAGACTAATGGAAATAGAGTTACCGGTAAGTCCTAACTCTGAATTTCAGATACAGGATTTATTTATTGCTTGAGTCGTAATGACTAAACTTTTCTTAAACAGTATTTAACCAACCAATCAGCAAATCAAACCAAGAACTGCTATCATTATTTAATACCAATAAAAGTCTAATTCGTGGCCAATTTGAAGTTATATTGTTGCTATTGTTATTAAATAATTGTTAATATTGTTGTGATGGACTGAACCATCACTGGGGCTGTTGAAAGAGCCTGAGGGCTAGCCTCCTTCCTACTGACTATGGACCTAGGACTATAGAGACCCCCTCTGACCTCTTGGGGTTGCAAGGAACTATTAACCTAGATTTATGTGTGGAGTGGATATGCTGCATATTTCCCCTGGCATTACATTTAAGTCACCTTGTGCCCATTATAGGTAGAGGATGTAAATCCAGCAGCACTGAAAGGGGTTAATTCTGGACTTAGACTCCCATTGAACTTGTTACAGTCTGTTTCTCCATTTGTCTGATTGGGTAAACAATGGGATTAACGTGACACTAGGTGTAGCTGAGTACATTAACATATGATAGACACTCAGTAGATAATCCCTTAATATGTGTCTCCTCTCTCCCTGTTCTTTCATTAAGGCACCAGGGAGGGTATGTCTGTTTTGCATTCTGTTAAAGGAGAACTATGAGGTGAGTGCTTTTCACTCACCTCATAGTTGTAGCCGACCTGTGACAATGAGACTGTCACAGGTCGGCTCAGTAGATCGGGAGGTGAGCGAACACATACCGGGTTCGCTCGCCTCTCGATCCTGTCACGGCTCTCTGCCGTGACAGGGGGAGGGGCTGGATTCCCCTCTCCCCGCTCCGATCTGCCAGCGCTGGCTGGCGGAACGGACGGGGGAGCTGGCAGAGCCAGCTGTCACTCACGCAGCTGGGCGGATCCCGTCATCTAAGTCGGGATCCGCTCAAGCTGCGGCGTCTCAGTATACCGCGAGCTGTAGCTCGCGGTATACTGAGCTTAGGGTAACGGGAGGACGCTAGTTTGTGTCCTCCCGTTACCCTAAGGAGAACTATGGGGAAAAACACTGACCCCATAGTTCTCCTTTAATGTCTGATTGTATTATGTTTTAGACCACCAGAACTGTATAAATACTGTGCTGTGTGTCAATAAAGCCAGTCCTTGGTTTTCAACCTAATAGACTAGTCCTGCCTGGTTATCAGGGGAAGGTTTGGGCTGTAATTATGATTTTCTGGTTCCAAAGTAGAGGACGCTGTCTTTTGACGGAGGTACCCAGTCGGGGTACCAGGCGGTCCGTCACAATTTGTAATACTGTAAATCTGCACTTGTGGATATAAAACAACCCCAATCGGTTTAAAAGCTGCTATACAAAAAACACAAAGTTCTTGAGTAATCTTCAATAAAATTGTACAGCGCTAAAAAAACCTAGATATATATAATCAATAAATAAGTGAATAGTGCAAAATGCTGTGAAAATAAACAAATATATAGATTAGTGTAATATATACAGGATTGAAGTAGTTAAAGGAAATGACAATTATGTCCTTTGCTGTTATATAGTTGCTAGTACAGTGTAGCTAGTCAGACCTGCCATCCTTTGATAACCTCTTGATGACGAATCGCATCAGGGCGGGTATTTTTTGACGCTACACGGAACACCGTAGATTAGAAGATTTTGAATGTATCCACCGGCCGGCTGTTTTGAACGTTATATGTCAGTGTTTTTATGCAATTTTAATAAATAAATCTTGTCACAATGAGGAACTTTATATATCCTTCATGTAAACGGGATTACCTGCGATGAGCGTTTACTAACGAAGGGAGCACAAGGAAGGAGGATGCTGAGATTTACATGACACTGAAGCGTGAATTGGCTGTTAGTTACAGCCTATGTGTGGGGTGAGTGCATACCCATTGGGGGGAGTTTTTTGACACGAGGAGAGCACGGAGTGAAATACAGAATTAATGGACTGTTCTTTGATTGATTATTTGATGCTTGATTTAACTACATCAGTCCTGTATATAATAAACTAATCTATATATTTGTTTATTTTCACAGCATTTTGTACTATTCACTTATTTACTGATTATATATACATAGTTACATAGTTACATAGTATTTGAGGTTGAATAAAGACATTAGTCCATCAAGTCCAACCTATATATGTAGGTTTTTTAGCGCTGTACAGTTTTATTGAAGGTCCGTCACAATTGTTATTTATTAATGCTTAATAAGGTGTCATCTGCAGTCCCTTGCCTAGTATGCAGTAGTCAGGAGTATGTTTACCAAGTGGAAAATACATACCCTGAGTGATTAATAAACAAAAACCCTTCAGCTGAAACTGGGGGGTTTCCAAGGCCTTCGCTGGCCTTTCAACAGTGTAATGACAGAAACAGGTACAAACAGGAACATTTGCACTAGGGAATGTACATGCAAGTGTTTGTTGAGACTCTCAACAGACACATGCATGCGCATTTGGCCAATTAATTAATCTCACCTATTCCCTTATGAGCAGGAGCTAGGTGATGGCAGGTGAACATAGTAAATTATAGCAGGTGTGATAGGACACACTAGGTGATAACAAGTGGGCACAGTAAATGGTGGTAGGTGGTCATTGCGGGTGATGGTAGCTGGGCAGAGTAGGTGGTGGTAGGTAGTTAGATCAGATGATGGTAGGAGGGCAGAGTATAAGGTGGTCAGGGCAGGTGATAGTAAAATTATTTTAAAAGCTGCAATGAATGGAGAATTCTAGTCTAGCCACCAGTTGTTTATACATTGATGGACTTTCGCTTCATCTCTCTAATAAAATTATAAATCTAGTTTAATAGTGTGAACATCACCAAACTTGGAAAATACCTAATTAGCATTATCCTACATTGTAGGGAGGATTCAGTTTCTTAATATTATATAATAAATTACAAGAAATCTGGAAAGCCCCATTTTAATACATCTACAGAGGGTCCAAATAGCCTCATTAGTATGCATATTACATATGACAGCTGTCTCCGCTCCCGCACCGCCAAGCTCAAATCAGGATGGATAGCAGTGTGGGGTGGAGACAGCTGTCAGCGCTGTCACAGGAAGCTGAGCTCTCCTTCCTTACCTCAATGCTCGGCCTCTTGTGACAAATCAGGAGAGCTGTGTGGGGTTGGAGACAGCTGTCACAGGAGGCTGAGCTGGCGGTGTGAGGGAGGAGTCAGGTGACAAAATACAGCACGCCGGCGTGTGTCACACGCCGGCCACTCACAGCGCTCTCCTACCCCGCACCGCTCGGCCTCCTGACAGTTTCTCTCCTTCCTGCTGGACGCTGTGCTGTGTCAGAGGGGACACAGAGCAGCGCCCAGCGGGGAGGAGAGAAACCAGGCATGCACTGCAATTTCGTCCCGAAAGATAGCAATTTTGCCAAATGTGCCATTTTTGTCCAATATGTTTCAGCGGCCGAAATTTCGGTGCATCCTTAGTTTTTATTGCTGTTGGCATCTTCACTAGGAAGAGTCACCCTCTCTTTTTATCTTGCTGACAATTATAATCGAGAGGGAAAGTGAAACAAAATCTAAAATTTTGAGTGGTCACCAGAACAGGAATGGAGGTCAAATCTTCCAGGAGAACACTAGTTCTAGTGATCCTGGTGACAACCAGGAATTTCCCTCAAATTGGAGGGATTTCCTCTTACTTCATATTGTGGCTATGGGACAAGTGAAGGGAAATTTCCTCAATAGGCAAATAAAAACAAAGGTTATAACCATCCCTTAGTTTACACAAAATTAAAAAAGTTTTGGCTTTAGTTTTACTTTAAGGCCTGGTTCACACCTGAGCATTTTTACGCGTGTATCTATATGCGCAAAACACAAAAAACGATACATTCTTATGGGGCTCGTTCACACCTGCGCGTTCGTACGCGCGTACAAAAAGCATAACGCAGCAAAAAGTACATGCACGATTTTCTGGGCAATTTCCGCGTGTTCTGACTGTGGTTGTAGCCGCAAATGCACACAAAAACATGCTTCTATTAAACTTTACACGCATACGACCACGCATTTTTCCGCGTGAAAAAAACGTGTTGAATTCAAAACGCTATGTGGTCCGGGAACAGGAATGGAGGGGGAATCTTCCAACCGGGGCACCTGTTCTGGTGATAATTGTCTATAGGGAATTCTCACTCAATTTGGCAAGATTTCCTCTTACATCCTGTTGTGTCTTTGTCTCAATGCCACACAGGTAAAGAGATCAGTTGGCTTTATACTTTTAGATGTTTTTAGGCACTGAAATCTGGTTGGGGAGGTGTTCATGCAGCATAAAGGAGGAGGAAAATTCAGGTCACAGTTTAAGAAGCCTGACACAGGCAGCTAAAAAGCTACAAAATAAAAAGTGGGCTATATAGAGTTTAAAAAGTGTGTGAATCACAAGATTAACCAGTTGACATCTGCGGTGTTAAACCCCCTTCCCATCCAGGCCATTTTTCAGTATTCAGCGCTGCGGTACTTTGACTGACATTTATTCCGTCATGCAGCGCTGTACTGAAATTAATTTTATACAATTTTTTTAGGGACAGACAGAGCTTTCTTTTGGTGGTATTTATTCACCACTGGGGTTTTTATTTTTTACTATATTAAGGAAAAATTACCGAAATTAAAAAAAAACCTGTTTCCCCTATATTAAATGATAAAACATTTATTATTACCCAATTTTTTGCTAAAATATAAAAGACGGGGTCACGTCGGGTAAAAAGACACCAAACATGTCAAGCCTTAAAATTGTGTGCGGGCGCGAAACCTCAAAATGATAATACCCAAAATTGGCCATAGGCGACGCTTTAAAAGCTTTTACCTCTCATCAGTTTATTGTTATCAGTGATTGATGGCCCTAAAATGATTGCTCTCACTGCGATGTTCGCGGCGATATGTAACGTGTGTAGCGCAATTGTCGTTTTTGCGCGCTGGTGCCCCAGACGCGTATTTATGTTTATATCTGCGTAAACGTGGGGAGTTAAACATTTTGGGGTTTTTTTTTTACTTTTTTTATATGTGACTTTTATTTTATTTTACTTTTTTATATGTGACTTTTTTTTTATTTATATATTTTTTTGCACTTATTGTTATTGCTATTATATAAGGGGATAACAATCCCCTTATATAATAGCAAAGGCACACTGACAGGTCCTCTTTATGGAGACATGAGGGGTCCCTAGGACCCCTAATGTCACCTGTGGACCCCAAAAGAAGCTGATGAAGCAGAGATTTGCTTCATCAGCTTCTTTTCTCTGGCTATAGCAGCCAGATGACTGACAGGTGAATGCGGAAGTGATGTAACACACATCACTTCTGCATTCACAGCCCGGAGGGAGGTCAGCAAGGAGCTGAACTCCCTTCCTCTTCCTCCTGACGCCCTCCCGACCCGATCCCGCAGATGGGGCGTTTAGGGGGCGAAAAAACGAGCACATATAGACGATTGGCAGGCTATGGAGCCGCCGATCGTCTATATGTGAAACACCCGGTAACGGGTGTTTGCATTGGTCGGGTCTTTTCTGCCCGTGCGCGCCCGCAGAAAAAAATGGAGACGGCAACCCACCAATGCTGCAGTGCCGTCCGTCTGTTTTTTTACAACGGGCGGACGGCAAGTGGTTAAATAGACATAATTGCAAACATTCTGGAATAGAAAATATATATTTCAAATGTGTGTTTAGCTGTATGGCAGAATTGTGCTTTAATTTAATAATTTGATTCTATTCTTATGCACCTCTGCATTTTCAGCAGTGATATACCTCCTCAAACTTCTTTGCTTTGTACTGATCCGCTCCTTTCAGGAAGTTCAGTAAAATGATATCACAAAGCACCGTGCCCTGCAAGAAAAAACAATTGCACAATTAATCAAATAGGAAGATAAGTTCAAAAATACACTACTATTACGGGAGGGAGCTTGGAGCAGTAGCTACTTTAACACACACAGGGACCATGGGGAACAAAGGTAGCCACCCTTCAGAAGGAAGGACAGCTGGCTTTTCAGTTTCTTCCGGGTTTTCCAGATTGTAGCTTAGAGCTGGAACACTGGAAAGTTCTGGGTGGGATGAAATCTCCAGTCCTTAGGGGAGGGGAGCACTGAGTGTGGTTCTATTGGCGTCTTTATCCACTTCCCAAAGACTCACTCAATTGTTCATTTTACACAGGACATATCGCACCCCAGAATCTTTGTTTTAAATAGGAGTTAAGAACGCTTCTACATGTCCCAAATGTGATTTTCGCCATGGTTCATTAATACATTTATTGGAGATGCCCCAAACTGATTCGATATTACCAAACCCTTAATCTGGGCAGCATACCAGGCCATCCAGGAAAGGGGGGGCGATCAAGCGGCTTCTCCCTCCCTCCACCATACCAGACCACATGGCTTTGGCATTGGGAGGGTGCTTTTTCAGGGGGGAACTCCATGAGGATGGGGACAGGGGCATGTTCCCCACAACCCTAACCCAGTGGTTGTGGGGGCCTGTGAGTAGAGGGGCTCATCTGCATGTGGGTACCCCTTTTCAAAAAGGGGCACCCAGATGCCACCCCCCTTCTGAATGAGTAAAGGGTACTTGTACCCCTACTCATTCACTAAAAAGGGTTAAATAAAATGTAATTAAACACCACACCTTAGAAAAAAATCCTTTAATTGAACAAAAAACAAAACCCAAATTTTTGACAATTCCTTTATTTAAAATACATTTTAAAAATGTCCCACAAAATCATCCCAGTGTTGGACGACAATTGGAAAAAAACAAACCTCCCCAATGCAATGTTTACATCGGGCAGTGGGTAGAAATAAACAAAGCCTATTGGCTATTTAAAATTGAAATACCCAATAGCAGTTCTGCGCCTCTGTGACTGACATCAGGCAGTGGGGAGCTTTAGCCACCTTGCTATTGGCTGTTGCACTTTAAAATAGCCAATAGCAGAATGGTTGCCTCCCACTGCCTTCTGTCAGTCCCGGAGGAGCGGACCTGACAGAGAAAGTTCTTTCAGGTCCGCTCCTCTGCAGATTGACAGAAGGCAGTGGGTGGAGCAATAGCCATTCTGTTATTGGCTATTGCAATTTAAAATAGCCAATAACAGAATGGCTATTGCTCCTCCAGAGGAGCAGACCTGAGAGAGAAAGTTCTGTTATTGGCTATTGCAATTTAAAATAGCCAATAGCAGGCTTTGTTTATTTCTGCCCACAAAGTCATTCCAGAGTCGGCTGACAAAAAATAAAAAAAAATAAAAAAAAACTCCCAGATGCAATGTTTACATTGGGCAGTGGGTAGAAATATAGAAAGCCTGCTATTGGCCATTTAAAACTGAAATATCTAATAGCAGGCTGGCTAATGCTCCTCCCGCTTCCTCTCGTCAGTCACAGAGGAGTGGACCTGAGAGAGAACTTTCTCTCTCAGTTCCGCTCCTCTGCAGGAGCTATAGTCATTCTGTTATTGGCCATTTGAAATTGCAATAGCCAATAACAGAATGGCTATTGACAGAAGGCAGTGGGCGGAGCAATCAGCAGAGGAGCGGACCTTAAAAGAGAACTATGGGGTAAGAGTTTTTCCCCATAGTTCTCTTAAGGGTTACGGGAGGACATATACTAACCTCCTCCCGTAACCCAAAGCTCAGTATATCGCAAGCAACAGCTCGCAGTATACAGAGACCGCTGCAGCCGGGATGGATCCCCTGACAATGCTGTCGAGAATGGCTATTGCTCCGCCCACTGCCTTCTGTCAATCAGCAAAGGAGCAGACCTGAAAAAATACTCTCTCTCAGGTCCGCTTCTCTAGGAATTCTCTGGGACAGAAGGCAGTGGGAGACAGCCATTCTGCTATTTTAAAGTGCCACAGCCAATAGCAAGCAGGCTAATGCTCTACCCCCTGCCTTTTGTCAGTCCCAGAGGTGCGGACCTGAGAGACAAAGTTCTCTCTCAGGTCCGCTCCTCTGTGACTGACATCAGGCAGTGGGCGGAGCATTAGCCAGCCTGCTATTGGGTATTTAAATTTTAAATGACCAATAGCAAGCTTTGTTTATTTCGGCTGATGCTGGAATGACTTTGTGGGACATTTTTTAAGCTTATTTTAAATAAAGGAATTTTCGAACATTCGTGTTTTGTTTTTTGTTCAATTAAAGGTATTTTTTCTAAGGTGTGGTATGTTTATTTACATTTTATTTAACCCTTTAGTGAATGAGTAGGGGTACAAGTACCCCTTACTCATTCACAAGGGGGTGGCATCTGGGTGCCCCTTTTTGAATAGGGGTACCCAGATGCAGATGAGCCCCTCTCCCACAGACCCCCACAACCACCGGGTCAGGGCGGTGGGAAATATGCCCCTGTCCCCATCATCATGGGGGCAAGGTGCTTTTCCCCCTGAAAAAGCACCCTCCCAATGCCAAGGGCATGTGGCCTGTCATGGTGGAGGGAGGGAAGGGCCTCTCGCTCGTCCCCCCTTTCCTAGCCTGCCAGGCTGCTGCCCAGATTAATGGTCTGGTATGGGATTTTAGGGGGGGAAAGTCCAAAATTCACACACACCCCAATCCAAAGGCTCCCATATCGAAACATTCTATCAAGTCAACTATGCAGAATTTGTGAAATTATGTGACACCTAACCACTATAACTGTAAATAAAAGCCAGACCAAACACCGAAACAAAGCTAACCTCTGCATCCCAGAACGTAAAGCACTCAAAGAACTAATGAACAAACTGATCTCGATTCGACAATGTGGCAGGATTGTTATCCAAAACCGCAACAACTACATTAAAGAGGCACTCCAACTGTTGTTGGACACACTTACTTAAAAGTACTTAAAACTAGGCACAGACCCACTACCTCACTTACTCACCTTCTTAACAGAACAAGCTTTCGAGGAGAAGATTATTACAAAAAAGGAAAGATTGGCATTATGCCCCCCACAACCCAAAACACCATTTTTCTACCACTTACCCAAAATTTATAAAAATACCACACCACCTGACTGCACCATCATCTCCAGCCTTACCAGTGGCCTATCCCGGTATGTTGACCATTTTTTACAGCCATTAGTTACTTCTCTAATCTCCTACCTCAGAGATTCCGTCCACCTCATTGAAACATTACGCCACTATTCCTGGGAACCTACCTACCACTGGGTCTCCTAAGATGTTTGCTCCTTGTACACCTTCATCCCCCACGAAGTAGGCCTGCAGGCACTCACCTATTGCCTGTCTCAACAATCAGAGCTCCATTTCAAACAAGCCCAATGTATTCTAAACTCCACCAGGTTCACCTTGGAACACAATGCCAATGTCTCACCTGCCAGTTCATCTCTCATTGTCAGTTCTCATTTCAAGTCTACGGCCTCCAGCTTACATAAGGTCTACATGCCAGTAAAAAAAACATTTTTCCAATGAGAAAACCTTTACCGCCACCTTTCCCATTGTTACCGTATGAGTTTATGTCAAATCTTCATAAGACATATGTATATAGTTTTATTTCTTGTTTTAAATATTTCCCCTGAGGTGTTGATAGCTTGTAGGGAAATAAAGTCTTTGTTGTGCTTATCACTGTGGAGGGGAGTGCCAGGCCCAATGAATTGCAAATAGGGTCATTGTTGAGCCCAGGCATGTCCAGAGAATTAACATAGAGGTGCAACTTCAGTATCCTGTGTATCAGGAGCCAAGACCCTTTGATCTAATAACAAGTAGACTGGCCAATCGTAGAGAGGGGTGTGGAGTTGTAAAGAGGGTCTTGGAAACCCTCCAATCTCCAGTAGGCCTTGGGAGGCAACCAATGGGAGATTTGTCCCTATGGACACGAGGGCTATATTAATGACTGGAAAAAACAGCTCGGGCTCTTTTCACCAGGATGGGGCCTCATGTGACGTTTAATGGGTAACTATACATATAATCTTTCCCCCACTTAACTGTATGTCTGTTTGTCTGTTAGATACCAATGTCGGGGTATTTGGCATGTTTAAATCTTTTCTTTGTATGTTGTAGTTAAATAGATTGTTGGTTCATTGTATTTAAGTCTTGATACTATATACCAATAAATTCTGTTATTGTGTTGAGCTCAAAAATCTCATGAATGAATCCTTAGAATATTATACCTGTAAGTGTGAATGCTTATATAGCGGTTCATAACTTAAAATAGTAATTCAGGTAACATAATCACACCATGCCTTTCCTGACACAGTATAACCTTAATAAGTACCCGTCCCCAAAAACCATTTCCAATGAGTGGACTTTTCCCCTTCCTATATGTTTTTCTCCCCTTTAGCTCACAAGGGATAATTTGACATTTGAACTTTCAGTTCTTTTACCACGTCCTGTCTTACCCGTTGAAAATACAGAACATTAACAGCTCAAGTGTTCTTTTGCCAATCCAGCCGAATACGTATCAAACTTTCACAATTCCCCTGCCTTTTTTGCCATACCTCTATTGTCTCCAGGGCAAGCTCCCATGCCAATTTACTCCGAATCACGGACCAACCAGTAGTTTCCCCTGCAATTAGGCTTGATAAAGAAGCTATATGTTTTGAAACACGTAGCCACCTGCATCCTCAGACACACCGCTCCTACGCCGGGCTGGTTCCTCCCTTTTTTCCACGCCACCTCTCTCCCCCCGCCTCCACACCCGAGGGCAGCCATCCGTGTTGACACAACGCTGGTCCGCTGGTCACCAGACCGCTCAGACACCAGGCCTCTGTGTCTGTGACCACCCGTCCGCAACACTGTGCCTGCTCCACCTCAAGAGCATCACACCACAGCGGTCTCCTCACCTCCCCAGTCTCCAGGGATCTCTCCTGACAGTTGGGCCCTACGCATGCCACACATGCTTTGACACATGCCTAAAGCGTGTCTTCACCCTTTTTCCACAGCACCTCTCTCCCCAACCTCCACACCCGATGGCAGTCATCCATGCCAACACACCACTGGTCACCAGACCACTCGGACACCAGGCCTCGGTGTCCGTGACCACCCGTCCGCAACTCTGTTCCTGCTCCACCTCAAGAGCACCACACTACAGCAGTCTCCTCACCTCGACCCACCCCAGTCTCCAGGCATCCAGGAGTCTCTCCCTCTCCTGACAGTTCGGCCCTACACATGCCACCCGGGCTGTTTGCCCCTTGCCCAGCGGTGTGTGTCAACTCATCTCACACCCCATGTGCAAAAATGTGCTCAGCTCACTCCTCCTTCCCTGCCATCACCACTGCCTTTGTCAATTTGGTGCTTAGGAACCCTTCCTAATAACAAAAAACCTCCCAACCTCAGCCTGAATCAGTGATTCATCTCAGGCAATAGATCCTCCTGCTGTCAGTGGAGTCTGGCACACACGGACCAGACCGGCACAAGCTTAGGACAATGCTTCAACTTTAGCCTTTATACCTCCACGCCTTTTTATCGACGAAACTACCGCGTATAGACCTCAAAGCATTCTCCTCAAGTGACTACTCATCAAAGCTCACCATCAGGATACTAAATAGCACATAATCAATTGGACATCATCCCATCCTTTCCAAATTGATCAAAGAGACCTTGCACCAACTCATCAGAAAACACAGGACCTTAAGAGAGTCGCTCCAACCCTTGCCGATGACATTGCATCACCTTTAACCAAAAGGTGAGTTTCTACACACCACACATGTGATTTATTTATTTGTGAGTTTTCACCTCTCCACCGTTCTCTACCCCTGTTTTTTGGTTCCCAACCATCCAAGCCAGGAGGCAAAACACCCCTTTTGCCTCTACATCACCATCAAGCTTATCCACAGCATCAGCAATCAACCAAGGCCCACCCATTTTCCCACACCCTCATTTCTTCCTGGTCATGGCGCTTCCTTCTCTCCTTTTTGTTTTTGCTGTCACATGTGCCGGACACCCGGTCCGTAAAATCAGGAAGCCGCACACCAAGACCACCCCAAACCAAAATAAACCCCCCTGAACAGCGCTGGAATTCTGGACTGCTCCTTGAACTTATAGTTTGGAATCCTTGGCCTTCCTGAGCTGAGCCAAGAAGGTACTGTTTTCTCCAGTGAGGTTCTTAATGATCTCATCTTGTGTTGCACTGAAAAGGCAATGCCCTGTGAATGGCAGATCCATTAGCACCTCTTTGGATGTTTGGTCAGCCAACACTTCAGCCACAAAAAATTAAGTATTCTATGCCTCTCCATTGTTTTCTAACCTAGCTAAACTACCAATACAGATAGCCACCATTTAAGTGTAAAAATGCATCAATTATATTAAGTGGATATCTATTAAGTGCAGAGCTAAACAAAGTGCTACCACTAACATACAATGACAAGCAGTGTATAAATAGGACTATAATGCAAAGCACTACTAGCAAAATAGTAAATGTATATATATATATCAATGTCCAAAACATATACAATATGATACACCACTTAGAAAATTTCAATCCACGACAGTTTCTTTATGCAGAAGGCGTTCACCACACAATCATCCTTGTGGATCTTCCCTTCCACCTCTGTGATTATACTCTCACTTCACACGCTGGACGCGAGATAAATCCCGGTTCTAATGCACTTGTTAATCAGCAAACTGGGCAAAACCCACATAGCCAGGCTTTTCAGGTCTTCCTTTACTAGTCAATATCACTCGTATGTAAGAAATCAAAAGGAAATATCCAATCATAGTGCTTTCCATTTATATCTCCTGTCCTGTGGACCCTCTTTAGTGAGCAAACACCTCCCATTACTACCCTGATGCCACTACTTTCTGAGCCTGTGATAGTATGTGGCTGACCAGAAAGGGTGTATGTATGGCCCCTTTCCAAGAACTGCTGTTCAGCAGCTAGCACCTGTAGTTCCTAATTGAGGGAGGTGCTGTCCCTTAGCTGAGACTACTAATTGAGAGTGCAGAGAGGACTATTTTTGCCCAGAAGTGCCCTAAACCAAAATGGTGGCCTGGGACGTCCTTTCAGGCATCCACAATTTATCAAGACAACATGCAATAAACAAAAATGGCTGCCACAGCTCCCTAGGCTGCTAGGCTCCCTAGGGAGACAGATGCAGTAGCCACCTGACCAGCATAAAACAGACCTCCAGACATAACCCTTTTTTGCACAGTGGTGGAAGCATGGAACACTGTTGTAGTCAAACCCTCCTTTCCCCATCTGGGGTAAATTACAGCTTCTCATCAATGTTGCTCTTACCCCACAGGAGAAAAACTCCACACAGCTTGAGGTAGGTAATGGACAAGGGAGAGGGTAGGGAGTCCTCAGGCTTACCACTCCATGAGCCCAGTCACTTCCAAGTGAGTATAAAAGGTCATCCACAGTAGGAAGCAAGTGGCCACCAGCCGAGGCAGGAGTGCTGCATCCCTGAAGGATGTACTATGACAAGCTAGTTCAGAAAGGACTGTCATTTAAGTTTTCAAGAGTAAAACTCGAATAGGCTATCCTAGTACAAATATAGGACTGTTGTAGCCAAACATGCACACAGCAAGGAAATTGTCATGTGCTCAATTACTTAAACTGAAGACTACTAGGATCTATATTATCCGCCCATCACCCTGCCAAAAACTTGCCTAAAGTAAAACTAAAGGAATTAGGAGGAAATATCTAAGTCAAAACGCCTAAACACTAGGGTAATAATGGTAATATAATATTAGTGTGGGAGGTTTTGGATACTAGCAGGGGTTGCCCCGGCTGTCTTTTTTTGTTTTGTTAGCTCTACTCCTTCAGGTGAGATTATATCCAGTGGTAATGATCTAAAGCAGTGCTTTGTCCTCCATTGAACGAGAGAGAAAATATAATGTGAAATAATATGAAAACAAAGAAGGCAGCTAAGGGGTGCTAACAATCAAATTTGTTGTGAACACAGTTAATAGTCCTAATAAGGACTTTTGGAAAGTGTAAAAAGATCTGTGTACACAGGGGTGGCACAAAAAAAGAATGTACACCATTGCAATGCATAGAACTCAATTATAGTTTGTGAACTGATCTGCCTACACTATTCCCTCCCTAGAATAGGGAAGTAAAAATGTAGAAAACACCTCTTGTGTAGTTAACTAAAATTTTGAGCTGCACGGTATCAAAAACACTTTGTTTTTTTCTTCAGAAATGATTTGAAGAAAGAAAGAGTGTTATTAAAAGCTTGCACCCTAAAATAAATGGAGTTAACCACACAAAATGTATTAGCTACGTTTTTACTTTCCGACTACTACCCACAGCTAAAACAGTACAACACTCTACTGCTAATCTCTCTCTATACTGTTAGTCAGCTCTCCCTGTCCTCTCACTACAGCAGCTACAACACACTGACACTATAGCTAGTTTCAACCCCCCTTTTATACTGAGGGGCTGTTTTATCCAATTTACACCCTTCCACCTACTGGCTGCCACGAGGCTCTAACTAGGGTCAATGGTTTCCCTGAGGATTATGATTCATTGCCAAAATTCACTGATCATGATTTTTATGGAATTCCAATTGTGTAAATTCCTTGCAAATTCAAGTTGGACCTGAATCTGAATCATCTACACATGCTGAACATTACAAAACACTGAACTAATAACTAGTACAATCATCTCTGCATAACACCCCAGGGTGCTAACACTAGCTCAAAGAGTGAAATTTATCCTATGCTCTTTAGCATAATTTGTATTTAAAGAATAACTCACCACACCCACAGATGTAAAGGCTGCCACAATATTGATGAGCGTTGGAATGATATTAAACTTCCCTGCCTGTAACGAAAAAGGGCAAATAATATATAACCAAATATTCTGAGCACATTAAATAGTTACAAGTAACTGTTGAACTAAGTAAAGCAAGCTGACCAAAAATGGTAAGATCAGGACTCTGGAAAGAAGCTGTAAGCTAAATAAAGAACCATATTTTGAAGATTAAAATGGGTAAGTGACTCAATAATGGTAAAATATTTATATTAGCAGTTTAAGATAAAGTTGGGAACAATTAGAAACTCTGTCAGATTCTTTTTTCCTTTCTGTCGTAGTCACAAAGTAAACAAAACATGGTATATGTGTATAAGATTCTCCCTATACCAATATGCTCTTGGGAATAAAGCTCACCATAGATTAAAAGCGGGGAGCAGTGTGGGTGTTAAGTTTTGGGGTTCATTTTTCATTGGGGTTCATTTTTCCATTGACAAACTGTGCTGGTATGAGTGTGTGTGTGTGTGTGTGTGTTTTTAAAACTTTGGCCATTTTTCATTGTATTCACCTGCCTGTACTCTGCTATAACTTTGAATCTGGTCGGTACACTGAAATCCCTGTATTATTAATATTATTATAAGTGCAGACAAAGTTCTGGATGCGAGCATGGAAGGAGTTGACAAAGGAAGCTAGAGAGCAGGAGGCCTTGGGAGGAGCAGAAGGGACAGTTAGGGTGATAACTTGAGACCAGGTTGGAGATATAGATAGATAGATAGATAGATAGATAGATAGATAGATAGATAGATAGATAGATAGATAGATAGATAGATAGATGATAGATAGATAGATAGATAGATAGATAGATAGATAGATAGATAGATAGATTTATTTGTCACATACACAATCGTACAAGTATGATATGCAGTGAAATGCTTACACGACTGCAAAAGAAGAAAGAAAGAATACATTTTAAATAAAACTTTTACATTGTAAAATAAATATAAGTGTTAAATGTAAATATTAAAATTTAAATTTGACTAAAAATGCTAATACAATATGGAATGTAAGTGTGCAAATGCCAACAGCAGCAATACGGGGTAAAATGAATTAAAGTGATGACCAGCAGTGAATTGACCTTTCCTTGACCATTTTCTTTTAAAGTGCGGATGTGCAGTAATGTGAGAATACTTATCTAATCAGGCAGTAGATTATATGACTATATAGAGGTCTGATTAAGAGACCGTATAGCCTGAGGGAAGAAACTTCTCCTCAGTCTCTCTGTGTTGGCCTTCAGGGAGCGATAACACTTCCCAGACCTCAACAAAGAAAAAAGTCAATTGTTGGGAAATCTTCCTGGCCTTGGTCCAGCACCGTTTGCTATAGATCGAATTCAGGTCAGGGAGTTTAGTTCGGATGATTCTCTCAGCTGCTCGCACCACCCTCTGAAGAGCTCGTCTGTCCTGCACGGTGCTGTTCCCAAACCAGGTAGTGGTGTTTCCCATCAGGATGCTCTCTATGGTGCAGGAATAAACATTTCTAAGCACCCTAGCGGGCAGTCTGAAGTCCCTAAGATATTTTAAAGTATTGAGCAAAGTATTGAGCAAAGTATTGAGCAGTCGTGACAGCAGCCGACTACACCGGCGCCATCTTGAGATTTCCTAGATATACAGTAGCTGGGGGCAGAGTTGTGGATGGCTTTGTAAAGCAGTGGAGGGATTGGCTGAGAGGGTTTGCAGACACTGAGTGGTTGGTGTTGTGACGGACTGAACCGTCACTGGGGCTGCTGGAGGAGCATGAGGGCTAGCCTCCTTCCTACTGACTATGGACCTAGGACTATGGAGACCCCCCTCAGACCTCTTGGGTTTACATTCTCCATTCTCCTAGGATATGTGTGGAGTGGGTATACTGCAGGTTTCCCCCGACATTACAGACACACACCACTGTGTTCAGTAAAGGCAGCAGGCTGTCTGGAGGGGCCATTGTTTACAGTGATGGAATTAAGCTCTTCTCTAATTAAGACAATCCAATGTGGCACCTAGCTGTCTGGGGGAGGGGACTGTTCCATGTAACAATGAATGCCTATCTGATTGTGTGAGGTATAAACTCTGTGTGCTCTTCCTCAATAAAGCAGTTCTTGATTTCCTCTTCAACATTGGTGTTGTCTGATGATTGCGGAGGTTAGCGTTCTGTCCTAATACATTGGGTCTGTCCAATAATTAGGCAAGTTTGGGCTGAGGACACTGGAATTCGTGTTCCAGCGGAGAGGAAGCTTTTTTCTGACGGATGTACCCAGTCGTGGTACCAGGCGGTCCGTCACAAGTGTCGGGGATGAGTTTGGCAGTAGCAGTGAGGTCAGAGCCCACGATTACAGCTAGCACCTTGGCGTGGGGGGAGGGAGGGATAGTTGTACTATTAATCACAATGGAAAAGTTGTGGGAAGGTGCATGGAGGGAGGAAATACATGGAAGATCACAGGGCAGAAAACTTTCCAGATACACAAAATGTTTAAAAAATGTTTAGTATTTATTAGGGATGCACCGATATATCGGCCTCCGAAACATATCGGCCGAAAATGGCACTTGGCATAATGCCGAAAGAGCCATGTTTCGGCCGATACATCGGCGCATCCCTGGTTTCTTTCCTCCCCGCTGGGCGCTGCTCTGTGTTCCAGCGGGGAGAAAAGAAAGTGACAGCCAGCCGAGCACTGCGAGCGGCCGGCGCCTCTCCTCCCACACTGCTCAGCCGCCTATCACAGTCCGGCAGAGCGGTGTGTGGGCGGAGACAGCCAGCGCAGTCACAGGACGGTGAGCTCACCTCCCTGCTCTGCTCGATCAACCTCCTGTGACAGCGTGTCAGAGAGGAGAGCGAGCACAAACACTCAGCGATCAGTGATTGCTGAGTGTTTGTAGATAATTGAGGACATGGTATGTTAACTATATCCTCAATTATGAATGAATGGGAGTGATCTACGTCACCTCGTGTTCATTCATAGTTGTAGGTATAGTAAACATATCATATCCTCATGTTATCAATGAACAGGAACACTCATTCCTGTTAATTATAGTCATCATAATTAATATTTAAACCAAAGATAACAAAAACAAAGAATATCTTCCCAATGGGACATTTAAAATACTGACAGCGATACATACACTTTATTACACTTTGCACACTCACAGTGCCGAGGTCAAAAGTACTTAACACAAACCTTCCAAATTTTTATAAGAATTACAGATGGTGGCAAGATATAGCCTAAATATGTCGATTGACGCTGATCTCTCCTCCGATCACTGGACCCGGAAGTTATGTGTATTACATCACTTCTGGTGTCATTGTGTACATTCTCCAGCTCTTAGATCTCTGCTTCATCAGCTTCCTTGAGGTCCCTAGGTGACATTAGTGGTCTAAAAGGCCTCTGATATCTCCATAAAGAGGACCTGTCACATAGGCTTGCCCCCTATGTGATCGCAATAAATTTGAGTGTAAAAAAATAAAAATTAAAGTAGCATAAAAAAGGTCTCACGCCCCCCATACAACGCAAACAGGTGTCAATAATTCTAGGGCCATCAATCACTGTTAAAACTAAACTGATGAGCAGTAAAAGCTTTTAAAATATCTCCTATGGGAAATTTTGGGTATTGCAGCTTTTTGCGGTTTCACAGGTACATGCAATTTTAACCACTTGAAGACCGGGGTGTTTCACTCCCTTCCTGGCCAGGCCATTTTTCAGTATTCAACGCTGCGGTACTTTGACTGACGTTTATTCCGTCATGCAACGCTGTACTGATACAAATTTCATACCATTTTTTGGGGACACATAGAGCTTTCTTTTGGTGGTATTTAATCACCACTGGGGTTTTTATTTTTTACTATATAACAAAAAAAAAAACCTAAATTTTGAAAAAAAACATGTTTCCCTATAAAATGTTATGAAACATTTATTTTCACCCCAATTTTTTGGTATAATATAAAAGACGGGGTCACGTCAGGTAAATAGACACTAAACAAGTCAACCTTTAAAAATGCGCGCGCCCGCAAAATCGCAGAAAACGACCGCAACCAAAATATACATCACTTCCTGCATTCGGGGACAGGAAGAGAGATCAAAGGGAAATCGAGTAATGATCTCCCTTTGATCTGCTGTTAGAGTGTCACCGTGCCGGTCCCAGCCGCACCGGCCACATCGGATCACGGACCGGCAGCTGCGACGAGGAGACGGCGGGACACAGGTACGGGGGGATGGGGGGGGAGGCTGCACACCCGCAGCTCCTGCAAGGGATCGGGCGTCTCTAGAGACGCCTGATCGCATGTATGTAAACAGCCATCGCTGGCTGTTTACATGCTCACGGTTTCCCCTCTCGTGTGCGCGCTCAGTGCCGCACATGCGAGGTGGGAGGGGCAGGACGTCTTAAGACGCCCTCCCGCTCCTAGCAGACTTCCGTCCGGCCGTTCACAAACGGCCATGGACGGAAGGTGGTTAAGGCTTGTTTGGTATCTATAAACCCGACATGACCCCATCTTATATATTTTACCAAAAAAATGGGTATTATATTCTGTTTTCTTTCTTTCTTTCTTTTAGTATATTTCATCCTAAAAATACTGGTTTGATAAACATTTGCACAAACGTGCAACATAAAAAAATTGCAACTAGAATTTTTTTATTCTACAGGGCCTCTGCTTTCAGAAAATATGCAATTGTTGGGGGTTTTAAGCTGTTTTCTAAAAATTCATATTTTATCATGTGTGTGCAAAAAGAAAATTGCTCCGGACAGCAAGAATATGGGGTCGGGGGTTTTGATTAGCTATTTACAACTTAAACATGCAGAAACATTTTCTAGTACTATATTTACCATTAAATAATCTTTATTTTCCCTCAACTTTCCCAGGATGTTTGGAGCATTAGATAACAAGGTGTATAAATATATTTGCACAACAGGCAAATTGCTGCGTTGCAGTGAAGCACAGTTTACAACTCATTACCATAATATAAAAAGGCTGCATGGGCCCTTAAACAACAACAGACATGAAATCTAGAATGTCTGCACCTCCTAATATGCTAACTTTTTAATTGCTGATATTTTGACATATTAAAATGGATAGAATATTCCATTTAAAAAGGCATAATATGTTATTATTGCATATAAACTTACATTGCCATATACAAGGACATCAATTCTAATGCCAAAGGCCTTGATAAGCGTTCGAAACTCTCTGCCATCTGCACCCATGTAGTATCGAGCAAACCTGAAACACATGGTAATACATTCATTTTTATATTAGTGTGAAATAAGCTGCACTTGGACTTACAGGAGAATTCTGCAGAAGATCGCCCCATGTTCTTCAATGCATGATATACATAGTAATTTGATAAGAGTTCTAAAGAAAGCATAGATGTACCTAAAGTATTCCCTGTTTTAGGGCTCATTTCCACCAGCCCGTGCACTTATCGCACTGTCCTGTGCCCAGGAAGCAAGGAATCGCATACACAAAGTCTCCGTTGCAGCGCCATTCATGTCAATGGCACTGGAGACACGGTACCGCGTGGTAATACAATGCCCTGCATTCCAGTGCAGTACGATCGTAACAAATTGTGCACGCACTATTTGTGTATGCGATGCCTTGCGAATCTGTGCACGGGACAGTGCGATAAACGCTTGGGCTGGAGAAAACGAGCCCTTAAAGTGACGTTAAAGTCACAATTTCCCCTCCCCCCACCCCCATGCTGCTTTAAGGACTTACCTTAAATGATGCCTCTTGATTTCATTATCTTCTTTCCATTAGTTTTCATTAGTTTTCAGGAGTCCCTCTAGCACTGGTGCCGGTCTGTGATCCAGCGCTGACTGCTGTGTCTTCTGTGCCCCACGGTGTCTGTCCACATGCACGCTCCCGGCTCCATGCATTGACTTACACTGTGTCTCTCCTCTTCTCCCGGCCGATGATCTCTACTGTGCATGTGCCAGCCCCATGATCCTTCACGGCTGCTTGAGAATCTTAACTGCTATATATATAAAAAGTAGATATAGATAGATATCTATATCTATCTATATCTATCTATCTATATCTACTTTTTTATATATTAAAAAAACCCAAAAAACAAGTTTGTAGCGTCCCCCTTTCCCGGTCAGCGCTATCCCAGCACAGGATAACACTAGCGGAGGCTCTGAAGGGGTGATCTACAGTACAATTAAATAACGGGTCTCCCTGTATTTCCTCTGTGATGCACCTCAATAACAAATACACAGCACACCTTGAGAGGTTTTAAATTAATATTTACTGTATATTGTAATCTGAATAGCAGTGCATGTGAATAACATTTGTCTCTACACAGTATGACACATCAACTGCATATGAAACACAAGCATAACAGTAATTAACTATTAATCCAGCTGTTCTAACCGTAAGCTTTGTGAACGATAATTAAACTATACATAAGCTTTAGTCCCAATGTACCCAGGTACCTAACCCACTGGCCAGTGGTAGTATCTTCATCTAGCCAACGTTGAGACCCAATACAAGTGGTAGAGAAATCTGTATAAACTGTTAAGGACAACAGGCCGGAGGCCTTTCACCCATACACGGAGGGAGATGTGTCAGTCTGTAGCCAGCAGAGATGTCAGGAATTATTTTCTGTGGTGAAGGGCATGTTCATTAGGAGATGGAGGTAGCGTTGTCTGATGTCATCAGGGGATCCGGTCATCAGCTTTAGCGTCCGTGCCGAGTCGCCGCCCACAATGTCCTCTCAGCAAGATGGCACCTCCCCGCAAGTCTCAGGTGTTCGTCTTCCAGACAGGAGCAAGCAGCAATGTCCTCTGTGCTGCAGATGTCACTTCAGGACTGCACCTGTGACAAGTGAGTACAGTATCTCTACAGCTCTGGCTGCACAACACAGAAATGACAGTCTGTGTCCTCTGTCTCCTCACACCGGAATGAATCCAGCAACCTTCTGCAAACAGAACTCACTTCCCCTTCCTCCTGTAGCATTCTGGGAAATGTAGTTCATGTACATTCACTCAGATATAATTCCTCCTCAGCTGTGAACACAATCCCCACAAAACTTTGTTCTCTGGCTCCTCCTGCAGCTGCAACATAGCTTCTCTCCTAAAGGAGCCGGAACCACATCAGGGCTACACTCTCCCCCCACTTGAAATCTTTGTATCAACACAAAGGGGACATTTGTATTTAAACTGTTACCAACTATAATTACAAAGAAGAGTATAATAACTTTGCACTAAACACCCATCAGTATACCTTTACTATGGGCAGAAAGACTCAGGTTTATGACATTTTCTAGCAACTGGTGTGGGTGGTGAGAACCTTCCCCAAGGTGTGGGGATGGCTTATGTAGGAAACAAATTCTCAGAAAACTTTGTGGCTTCCATAGACACTGTAGAAGATCTTTTTTACAGTGGGTATGACCTCTTCAGTGCTGTGACCCAGTGAATCATAGGTAAGTCTTTGAGGAGGTCTCACCAGTCGCTTTTATGTTGACTCTAAAAGCCATGAAGTACCCTCATCTGGATCATCATCATCTGGTGGCATCTCTGATGAAGGTGGTGCAACTGATACTTCGCTTTGTAGGATGAGAACATCTGACTCTGAGGTTTTGACTAAAGATTCTTCCATTGCAGGAGGTGAAACACTTTTCCATTGGAGGTATCTCGCAGACTTGTGGTACAAACTCTGGAGCATCCACTCAGATCACTTGAACCAGGATCGGAGGTGAAAGTTGACTTGAGTCGCCTAGAGATTCAGGCGACCACACCCAATCCAAGCAAAAGTCCTTCTTTACTGTCTCCTTCTTCAGCTGTAGGAGAAGGTTGAGACCTAGTAATTGGTCATTGGCTTGAAGTTAATGAAGTTGAGGCAGTTGACTCACCCCTGATAGAAATTCGAACAGCATCAGTCAAGGGCAGTAGATTATTTCTGTGCCAGTTTTTCAAAGGCCCAGATCGTCCCTCGGAACAAATATGATATACTGGTAGTCCAGGTAGTTGTTTACACACGACATAGATTTGAGAACCATCGATCAGCTGGCCCCAAATTTCTTACGACAACTTGATCACCCGGCTGTACATCTTGGACTCTTACTCTCAGATCATAGTTGTTGCTATTGCTTTGTTCTCGACTCTCAGCCATGGCACAAGCTTTCTCATTGGGAAGTTATAGTCTTCTTCACTCCTAGTAGACTAAGTAGTTGCTTAATGAGCCTACTTTCAAAGTCTCGTCCTTGATCCGAATGGATCCTTTGAGGAAGTCCATAATGAACGAATAACTTTTCCACCAGTACTTTTGCCATGGTGACAGCTTTCTGATCTTTAGTTGGATAAGCTTGGGCAGGGCTGTCTTTAACGCAGGGCAAAAGGGGCAGTTGCCCAGGGCCCAGTCATTGTTGTGGGGCCCAAAGCAGCTGCCCCTTGAGCAGGTCCTGCGCTGCAAAACTCCTACCACTGGCCCTGCATCTCCGCACTGACAGCTGAGCGCTGGATGATCGCAGAGCAGAGCGGGTCACACGGAGAGAAGAGCTGGGTGGACGCCCTCCCCCTCCATGCTGTGTGTATGTGTGTGCTGGTGGAGACAGCTCTGCTATGACCCGGACTCCAATGTTCACTGGCCTTTGCATCTGGATGGGGGAGAGGGAGCATGCCGGGTGCGGGGATTACAGCGTGAATCAGGGCAGCATGAACAGTGGGTGTCTGATGGGGAGGCCCTGTGTGTCTGTACTGGCTGCTGCATGTGTATATTAGGGAACACTGAATGTCCAGAGAGAGGGGTCACTATTGTCTGAGAGAGGGGTCGCTGCTTGTCTGTATGTGATGGGGGTCACTACATGCTTTCCACCCTTGAGCCTGCAAAAGATACACCCGCGACACTCTTCTGTTTACTGTGCAATCGGTATTGCAGAGTGTTGCTCCGCCCCTGTCGTATAGGCGTATGCATGGGCGAAATTGCATGGCGGGGGCGGGTAGGGGGTGTTTTGTGTGGGGGCTTGGTTAGTGGGTCGGGCAAGTAGGAGTGAGGGTCCCAAGAAAATGTTTGCCCAGGGTCCAATCAGTATTAACCTCCCTGGCAGTATGATTATTTCGCTTTTCGTTATTTTTTCGGCGCAATTTTTTTTCGGATTTATTTCGTTATTTTATTTTGTCGTTTCTTCCGGGTTTTTTTTCAAATTTTCCCGCCGGTTCCGCCCTCAGCTCGCAAGGGATGGAACCCGGAAGACAGATGCCGGCGCCGGCCGGAGGACACCGCACGGCTCGAGGGACAAGGTAAGTAAATACTGTGGGATATTCCCGAGTGTAGCTCAGGGTATGGAGAAGTAACCCCGAGCTACACTCGGGAATACCGCCAAGGACGTTAAAGACGGCCCTGAGCTTGGGCATAGCGGGTAAAGTGATCAGTCACCACCAGTATGTTCCCTTGTTCACTAGTATCTGGCTCTAGACACAGGAGATCAATGCACACCAAGTCCATCGGTCCTTGGCTTTGAAAATGGCTCATCGGAGCATTCCTGGAAGGCAGAGTCTTTCACTGAATGCACCTCAAACAGGAACGACAATACAAAAACTTTGGTTCTCATTTGAGGCCAAAAGAATCTATCTCGGACCAGCTTGAGAGTCCGGTCAATTCCCATATGACCATGATCATCATGTAGAGACTTTAGCAAGTCTTCCCTAAACTTCTCAGGCAAAAACAGTTGAAGGTGTTCTGCTGCAGTATCCGAGGGGCCTCTTCGGTAGACCACCCCATCATGCAATTAAAGATGTTCCCACTCTTTAAGCACAGACCTGGCTTTCTTCAGAGAGTCTGTGGCTTATAAGCCTCTATGCCCAGACTTAAAGGCCTTTTGAGTTAACCCAATTAATGGGTCTTTAGATTACTCTTCCCTTAAGTTCTTCTTGCTGAGAATGGGTTGCCCTTCATCTCTCAATAGAGCTGGATTAATATATAGGTTGGGGATGCCAGCGGTCCGGACTCCAATGGCTTCAGCTCCTACAGCCCCTTTTTCTCAATACTCAACTCCAGGATACAAGTTCTGTACCCCTTCAGGAGTTAAGTTAGCAGATCCATTCATCTTTAGAGGTGACAGGATAAGGTCTTTTTAATAAAGCATCTACATCAAGATTACCTGCTCCAGGTTGATACATCAAACTAAAACGAAATCCAGACAAGGCGGCTAACCGGTGGCCTGTAGCATCCAACTCATCAGTGGTTAGTATGTATTAAGAGGGTTGTTGGTGGTCTTGACCACAAAGTCGGCTCCATATAGATAGTCTCTTAACTTGTCCACAGCAACCCACTTCAAGGCTAGGAACTCAAGCTTGTGAGCAGGGTAGTTCCTCTCAGAGGGGTTAAGGCTTCGGCTTACATAAGCCACTGGTCGTAACAACCCATCATACTCTTGGTACAACACACCAACTAAACCATCTCAAGTGGTATCGACATGAAATTCATAAGGCTTAGCGGGGTCAGCGTAAGCTAGTACCGGTGCTTGAGTCAGGCTTCTCGTAAGACTCTTGAAAGCCGATTCACAAGAGGTGGTCCACTCATGTTGTATGGACTCCTTGGACTTTCTTGGGCCTTATTGCTTGGTTTGGACCCATCTAGTACTTTATCCTTCTCTCCTCCAATTTTTAGCAAGTCAGTCAGAGGACAAGCAATCTTGGAGAACCCATTCATGAATCTCCTGTAATAGGAACAGAATCCCAGGAAGGACCTCAGCTCATTGACTTTTTAGGCCGAGGCCAAGTTTCCACAGCTTCAATCTTCTGGGGGTCAGTGGATACTCCATCTGTGGACACTATGTGCCCTAGATAGGTGACAGACGGTAGGCAGAACTGACTTCTCTAGGGATAGCTTCAACCTTTCTTCATTGAGTCTTTGGAGGACCTTCTCCAGTTTCTGCTCATGCTCTTCTAGGGTTTTCCCGTAGACTATCGGGTCATCTAAGTACACCAGTACATCTATCAAGTTCATGTCTCCTACCGTCTTCTCCATCAGACGTTGGAAGAAGCAGGAGCTCCAGTTAAACCCTGAGGCATGTGATTGAATTCATAGAACCCCAAAGGACATATGAACGCCATCGTCACGCTGAACCACTTAGCTCCTGTTAGGAACTGCAATGCATCTTCTATTCTGGGAGTGGTATACTGGCCAGGGATGGTCCTCCAATTTAAAGTGCGATAATCTATGCACAAACGCATAGATCAATTTTTCTTCTGTACTACTACAATAGCAGAAGCATAGCGACTTCTGGATTCTCAGATTATCCCAGTAATTTTCAGCTCTACCAGCTGTTCCCGTAGTCTCCCAAGGGGACCTGATGAGACCTCTCCTGAATAGGTCTATCATCTTGTAGGCAGATGCAATGTTTGGTGCTCTTCACACACCCTACATCAAATTCATCTTTGGAGAATAGGTTCCAGAACCTAAGGAGTGGAGTTTGCAGTCTCCTTTTCCACTCCAATGAGATAGGAGTGTCTTTGGGAAAGAACTTCTAAGGGATGTTCCCTTTCGCTCCCCCCACGAAGTCGGTTTGCCTGATTGGCATCTTCATTTTTAAAGTCACCGGAACATTGGGAGGTATTACATATGTTCACCACAACACTGCCTCTGGATCGATGCAAAGCCTTGGTGGAGATTAACTCTGGGACTATCTCTATCCCCGAATCTCCCAGATCTTCAGGATAGGTTTCTAGGATCACATAAGGACCAGGCTGATCTCAGCTGAACCTAACCACGGCTTTGACACAGGTCATCTCTCCAGGCTGAAGAACTTTTTCTCGGAGACTCAGATTCTTCTTCAACCACTAAAGGAGTCAGGAGTCGTCTCACCAAGTCAGTGTTGGTTCTTACAATGATAGAGGTTCCATCATACCCCGGGGGTCGAGCAATCACGATGGCTAGAGTGTCGAACACGCCCCAATTTGTCCAAGAGTGGGGCTGAATTCAAATCGAACTTGTACATATCCAGTATGGAGAAGATTCTGGTTTCCGATGCCCCAAATCTCAAGGCCTTCCAGCTTTTGTAGTGGGACATGCTTTAAGTGTTTTTCATAGAAGTCTTGGTAGATGTGATGTGAGCACCTGAATCCAGGAGGGCCTTGGTGTAGACTTCCTCCACTTGTACTGAGACTATGGAGGAAGAACCAACCAACTCCTCTGGGTACTGCTTGTGATTGGCAGTGGATGGTTGAGCCCCGGTCAATCTCATAGTTATTTTCCGCTTCGTTTGAGGTGGTTGATTGGAGTTCTTCAGCAGAGCTATAAAACTGGTTTGTAGCTTCTCCTGCTTGTTTGTCCAATTCTTATGTTTGGAGTACAATTTAACTGGGCGCCCAGTCGGCTCCTTTACTGGGGCAATTTGAAGTTTCCCTCCTAGCTCTGCCGCCAATAACTTCCATTGTTCCTTTAGGACTTCCTCTGCAGTACTTAGAGGACTCTTTTGTCCTGATCAAGGCATTGTAGGCTGTATATCTTTGAGAGATTCCTGTAGGTCAGCTTGGGCTTCTGCCACTTTCACAATTGCTAGACATATCTCCGCTTGAAACTCTGCCATCTTCCGGACAGTTTTTTCTAGTTTAAGCTGTGTTAGCTGAGCTACGTTGTCTTGATTGTCTTCATCAGAAGGTATGTGGGTTGTAGTTTGTTTTTCCATGTCAATTTACAGCTCATAAGTGTATTCTGAATCATCCTCATCCAAAAAACCTTCACTAGCTTGCACAGAATGCAGGTAAACCTTTTCCTTTTCTTGAACAGGTTTCTCCATAATACTATGATTTTTTTTTCTTCCAAAAGAGCTTCTTCTCGTACAGCTCGAATCAGTTCAGGGTATTTTAACTCTTTATTGTTCTCTCTGGTCTTCAATTGCCACATCACTGGGTCTAGCGGTTAGCACCTCTCAGTGTCTATCGCATTCTGTCCTCGTTGACTGTGGTGACCTTTTTCAGTAAGATATAGGTGCAGTATCTTGTCAAGACGCCTCATGTAGTCAAGGCATCATTTCACCCTTTTGTTGATAGGTGTGTTCAAACTGATACAGCAACTCTGCAGCTTTCTCAGTTCGCCCAAAGACATCCTGAAGAATGTTTAGGTAATCTAGAGCAGTACAATTCTGTTGACTGAGCTTCAGATTTCTAATGGCTTCTAAAGCAGGTCCCTTTTAAACTTTCAGTAATTATTTGTTTCTTTTGCGCCTCTGGAATATCCCGTTCATCCGGGGCCTGCCGAGGGTCCAATCAATATTAATGATTGCCCTGCTTGCCACTTTTTCAGAATAGGTGCTTACACTCTATGTTGGTTAGCAAATACATTCTGTTTAGAGCTAGATTACACACATAGTAGTGATGATAATAATCTTAATGATAATTATATTAATGATGATATTAATAATAAATGTGATAAAAAAATGAACAAATTATTCTGACAACAAGCAAGTCTATAAAAAAGAGTGACATTGGTACCTAAATAAGGTATATTGAAACTATAAATACAATAAGAATCATTGGATACAAAAACTCAATAAATCTCAGGAAAAATTACAGAGATAACTGCTTAGGGAAGCTGTTCAATGTGAAAACGTATGAACTCTTTGTAATAAGAGAGGTGATTAAAGCACCTTTGCTATAAATGTAAGAAATGGGGTGGAGGTAAGGTATTGCACAGTAGAAATGATTTATTATTAAATATTTCATATTTCATAGCCGACTAAAATAGAAAGAATGTGTTTTTGTCCTGAACATAAACAAAGAAAATATAACCATATTCCTCTTTAAATCATGCATGTTTAAATTTGTCCATGGGCTTTTGCTAATCATTTTGACTCTGTGCTTCTTAAAAGAGGCATACCTGAAATTGTAGCCTTGTGACACATTGTTTTTTTCTGATACACTATCCAGTCTGGTAAAACTGTACTGAGGAATACAAAGCTCCCAGGACTTGTCCAGGTCACACATCCAGCCGATCTTAATACTCAGTACTCCTCCCTGCAACAGGGCAACACAAGACATTTTTAATACTTTTTTAGGCTGTTGAGAGCCAAAAATTACAAAAGCAAGTGACGTAGTTGATAAGGTTGGAAATGACCCATCTAATTGAACCTGTGTCTGATTTTGAGTCTCTTAGGGCTTGTTCACACAAAATGCGGACCAGATCTGCATGAGTTTCTGCACACGCAGTGCAGTGTGTTTTGCCACTTTCCGGGCCGTGTTTGTGTGTTCCAGGGCGTTTGCATGTGTTTTGATGCGTTTGCATGCATTCCAGAGCAGGAAAATTAGGGCTTTCTGCAGTTTCTATAACATGCTCTGGAACTGAACGCTGCAGTGTGAACTAGAGCCCAAAATACCATTGGAATACAATGGATGCAGTTTTTATCCATTCTGTAACTGCTCTGCTCTGCTCCTGGAATGCGCTTGGTGTGAACTAGCCCTAAGGCTTTTAGAGCATCGCCTACAGCCAATTTGGGGTACCAACATTTTTTGCAATTTTGAAGCTTGATATATTTGATATCTATTTACTTTACGCAACCTCATTTTTTTATAGTTTACCCCAAATATTGGTATTTTATTGTTTGTGTGAACTACAATCAATTTGAATGCATTTCATTTAAATGCATTTTTATACTGAAAATGTGTTGGATAAAGTGTTCCACTAATATTGTGTGAGATAGAAAATTGCAACTATAACCATTTTTTCTCCAGGGTCTCCTCTTTCAGAAAATATATAATTTTGTGGCGCCTTAAGCAATTTCCAGGCCTAAAATTTGCATATTACACATGTTTGCAAAAAAATGCAAAAACAGCCCTGGCAGCATAACGAATAAGTGATCAAAGTAATGCTTTATTTTGGATGTGAAATTTAAATTACTAAAACACTCCCTCCCAGTAGATAGCTGAGCACTTACTCTATACTCTTCTTAATGAACCAATGAATAAAGCAAATAATTTCAGATTGTCCCAGGTGGAAGTCAATCAATCAAGCAAGAAAGCCAGGTTCTTTCAAAAAATTGTAATACACAGGTAAAGAACTATGGTGGGAACCATTAGAAAGTGTTTGTGTTTCACAGGCCAGCCAATCAAATGTCTGCTTTCACCCTTCACTAGTGATATGTTCACATTTGAACTGGTTGCAAATGCCTGCCAAGGAAACTTCTGCCTTGTCTAGTTGTTTAAATTAGTCCTTATTCTGCCAAAGCTTACCATTACCATCACTTGACCCCTTGGGACATACCTTGTCAGCCAATGTAGTGAAGTTTTGACCTGCAAATTTCACAATATCTCCTAGTCTAAAGATTGGACAGAAAGCATCCTTTTCTGGATGGTGGAGACATCTGAGACTGTTTGGCAGGTTCCCCCTATAGGAATATAAGAAAATAATGTTCAAAGACCGAATCGCTCACAGCATTTTTACATCATGTTGGGGCCATACACACATGAATATGAGCCTTGTGGTGTGTTGCATTTATTGTGAATGTCACCCCAAATTCAGTAAAAAACACCTGCACTACCACAACACATAGATGTGAATATTTTGTGCTTTGTGGTGCACTGTATTGTCAGATGTGGATTTGTAGCTGGTAAACTTTGAAGATCTAAAAACTAGAGTTCCTAAAGGATGCAAGGAGCCAATGACTGGGTGAACCTTATGACACTTGAACTATCAGTTTAAGATGGGCTTACAATGTATGTAAACTCTAACAATAATTGAGTCTACTTTTTTCTACCTTGGGGTCTGGTAAAGAATGTTGTTTGTAGGTACAAAACAATATCAGTTAATCACGTCAGAAGTTTAGAACTGTCCTATTGCCTGTGTACACTTATTGTGTTATCAAAAAGTTTAATTAGCTCTACTCATTTTTATCTTGAACTACAGAGCAATTTGTGTCTGTGTAATTAAGATGGAGAGTAGGAAGGTTTAAGTAGTGTAGCAAAAGACAACTGGGCAGGGCTAATACTCAGTCCACAAAACTGCTGCATGTTGTCAGCCCACAACAGGACATAGGAGCTGAGTGCATTTCTGGCTGATCATCAGGTATGTTTCTGTAATAAAGCATAGGGAAATGTGTACATTGTAGATTATATAGAAAAGGCATGCTATATTAATGTTATAACAGACAAGTGTAGTATAATTTCAGTCAACATTAGGGATGAGGTTTGCCACTACCATAGGTTCAAGGCAAATCCTGTGGGTTCGAGATTTGCTGCCCTAGCAATTTTTTTGTGCACTGCTGCCACCATATGTAATACAGCGATGGCAACAGGGCCCTGTAGACTGTTGGCTGCTTTAGCCATAGAGACTAGCTGTGTATAGCCAACTTAAAAATCACATCCATGGGCTGACTAAGGTGCAAACACTCGGGAAAGTCATGGTGGGTGTCTCTTTTCTTCCCTTTGATCTAGTGAATAAGTAACTAGGATTTTGTCACTTCCAGATTCAAAGTTTATGTGCACTAAAATTAAGGTTTTTATTACTGAAAAGTTTTAATAAAGAGTTGCGCTATTATTGTGTGACTTAAAAAAAATTGCATCTATCTATCTATCTATCTATCTATCTATCTATCACCCTCTTGCTCTATCCTACACTCTCTGACTCATATTTTTGAATCTTTCCCTCTCTACTGGCATCTTTCCCTCCCCTCTAAAACATGCGCTGGTCACCCCAATACCCAAAAAAACAACCTCAACAATCTCAGACCTATCTCCTTACCCACCTTCACCTCCAAACTCCTTGAACGCCTAATCTACAGCCGCTTGAGCTTTCACCTCACTGATAACAATCTCACTGATCCCTTACAGTCTGGCTTTCGCCCCAACACTTCACATGAAACCCCCCTCCTAAAACTCACTAATGATGTACTAAAAGCCTCAAAACAATAGCCACTACTCCTTACTATTGCTATTAGACCTTTCTGCTGCTTTTGACACAGTTGACCATCCACTGCTCCTCAAAAAACTCCACTCGCTTGGCCTACAAGATTCTGCTCTCTCATGGTTCTCCTCTAGTGTAACCTACAAATCTACCTCTTCCTCTCCTCCTTTCTCTTGGGGTCCCCCAAGGCTCTGTCCTTGGACCCCTTCTCTTCTCTATCTACACCTCCTCTCTTGGTCAGTTGATCACCTCATATGGCTTCCTATACAGTGGCGTAACAATCGCCATAGCGACCCAGGCGGCCGCTATGGGGCCCGTGCACAGGGGGGCCCGGCCAGGCATCCCTCTGATGCCGTGTGGGCCGCCTGGGTCACTATGGCGTCTCGGGTGCTGGCTGTCACTGACATAGCTCAGCAGCTGCTGTGAAAGAAAACGTTCCCACTCACAGCCGCTGCGGAGCTGTGTCAGTGACAGCCAGCAGATGCGGCAGAATAGGCCGGTTATACCGGTGTTCTATCGATAGTCCAAACGTATTGAGTTGTGGGACCGCATGACTTCCGGTCCCAGAACTCTATAAGTTCGAACTTTCGATCGATCACCGGCATTTGCAGTAAAGAAGGAGGCGGGGTCCGCCTAACAGCAACCCTGCCTCCTCTCACATCACTGGCCAGCGATCTAAGAGCAGGTGGGGCCAGTGATGTAAGAGGAGGCGGGGGCCGTCGATAGAAGGAGGCGGAGCCCGGGAACGGAAGAGGAGGCAAGGGCCACGGAGGTGACAGGTAAGAAGCGGACAGCGCAACTGAGACCTTGCAGAGCCCACCATAGAGAGTCCATGGTGGGCTTTGCAAGTGGCATAACTAGCAATCACGGCGCCCCATACAAAATTTTGCTATGGGGCCCTGTGATTTCTAGTTACGCCCCTGTTCCTATACCATCTCTATGCTGATGACATTCAAATATATCTCTCCACAACTCACCCCTTCCGTCTCCCTGCTTATCACTAATCTACTAACTGTCATATCAGTCTGAATTTCACAACACTTCCTAAAGCTCAATGTTTCAAAAACTGAGCTCACGGTATTCAACCGTGCACCCTCTACCACCTTTTTGATCAGGATTGATAACACAACCATCCAACCCTCCCCCCATGCCAAGGTGCTAGGTGTCATCCTTGACTCTGACCTCACCTTTCTGCCCCACATCCAATCACTATCCAAATCCTGCCGTCTTCACCTTCGTAACATCTCCAAAATACTCCCCTTCCTCACCAATAAAACCACAAAGCTGCTCATCCACTCACTTGTTATCTCATGTCTTGACTATTGTAACTCCCTCCTCATTGGCCTACTTCTACACAGGCTATCCCCCCTTCAGTCTATCATGAATGCTGCTGCTAGACTTATCCACCTAAGCAACCGTACAGTATCTGCAACCCCCCTATGTGATAGCAATAACAATAAATGTTAAAAAAAAATTAATTAAGTTACAAAAATAAAAAATGTTTTTAAGTCCCCCACCCCCACGTTTACATACATATTAACGTAAATACGCGTTCGATGTGCCAGCGTGCGAAAATTACAATTGCGCTACACGTTACATATCGCCGTGAACGTCGGAGTGAGAGCAATCATTTTAGGGGAAACTGTTTTTTTTTTTACATTTCGGTAATTTTTCCTTTAATATATAAAAAAAAATAAAACCACAGTGGTGATTAAATACCACCGTTTTGTCGAGCCGGCAATCGCTTCTATGATCCAGTACATGTTGGGTATCGCCACACATGCCGGAGTGAGAGCAATAATTCTAGGTCCAATATTTATACTGAGGCATTTTAAAGCGTTGTGTCTGGACTTTTTAGGGTACTGAATTCTGTCGCAGTTTCACGGATGCACACAATTTTTTACGTGGGCATGTTGGGTATCTATTAACTCGTTGTAACCTCATTTTTTTTATTTTACAAAAAAAATTGTTTTAAATAGTGTTTTGGGGCATTAAATTTAACTTAAGTGCATTTTTCACAAAATTTTTGGGTTTGATAATATGTTGCGCTAATGTCGTGCAACATAAAAATTTGCAACTGCCAACATTTTATTTTATAGGGTCTTGGCTTTTCAGAAAATATATAATGTTTGGGGGTTTTAAGTAATTTTCAGGCCTAAAATGTGGAATATATAATGTAAACGAAAAAAAGGCTTTTTTCCTTAAGGGGTTAAAAGAGGGCCAAATGTTATATTGTGTTAATAAGACCTGTGTAATGTTAGTTATTTGTTATTGTGTTTATGTTAGTTATTGT